GTCTCACATTTTTAAGATCTAACTCCTAAAAAATATCTTATATTTTTAAATAGAGGGAGTATAATTTTTTCAAACTCTATTTACATTCTGAAATTTTATTTGACATAAGTTATTTTTTTTATTCGAGCCTTTTTCTCTCCATTTGAGCATTCATAATTAATTTTGAAAAATTATCCAAATATTGTCTATTGTTAAAATAAATTTTAAAAAATATTATGCAACCATAATCACATTTTTTAATTAATTTTTTATAATCATTTTTTACCAATTGTAATCGAAATACGCCCTATGTCCTTGTTTATAATATAAAAAATTTTAGTATAAATTATTAATTATATGATTTAGCTCAATTCTATAAAGACATTACATATTTTTAATATTTATGAATATATCTACATTTTTATAATAAATTTTGATTGAGTATATAAATAATTGATCAGAGAAAACTCTGTATAAATAGTCTAACCTGGTCACCATGCAATTTGTCATTTTATATTACTTGGAATAGATGTGAGCTTTGGGGATTTTTTAAAAATGTTGTATTCACCTTATTAAGGAAAAATGATAATAAAATTCTTTCAAATTATGTAAATAATAATTTAACACCTTAAAATGTCATAATACTAATGAAGTTATTGGGAACTTCTTTGTCAAAACTATTTTAAAAAAGATTATTTTATCTTTATTGATAAATTATGATTTCTTATTTAACTCTTACTATTCATATAATAAAAGTTACAATTCTTTAAACAAAAGTTGTGATTGAACTTATTTTCAATAACAGAAATTACACCTGATAAGTTGTAATTTTTTATTTAATTTTTATAATTTATACAACAAAAATTGTGATTGAATTTTATTATTTTCAATGAAGGTAAAATAGTCTTTTTTGAAAAGGCTATTGATAAAGAGATCTCTAAAGACTTCATTAATATTATGATATTTTGAGGGATTAAATATTATTTATATAATTTGAAGAAATTTTATTGTAATTTTTCCTCATATTAACAATATAAAACAATTAATTATACTTTGTTTTGGGTGAACTACAGATTATGCTCCATCTGTCATTAAACATAAGGTATCATTCTTCTGTAACCAGCTACGTACACGGGGTGGACTAGGGGAACCCTTTCTTTGTTTCGATAGCAAAAAATAAAAAATAAAAAAAATAAAAAATGAGGTGAGTTTGGTTTTAAAAGTCCATTAAGATCAGGATATGCTTTCAAATTTAAAGTCTATAGATATACTTACAAATAATTTACTGACAAGATTTTTATATTGACTGTGAGATTTAGGCATACAATCTTGTAAATTATAAATTAAATCATTGCAAACAAAACTAATATTTACTGAATATGGGACAACCCTTTCTAGAAGCTGACTTTTAATTTTCCTTCAAGTACCATGAATTATGTATAGTGTAAAGCATTTCTATTTAATGGTAAGAGAGTCATTAATTTATTACCAGAACTTCTGAACTAATTCTAACTCTCAATTTTTCTATTCACATACTTTCCTCTATCCTAATTATAAGGTGCACTTTATAAAGGTTATTTAGTTTTTAATATAAGACACCTGATGAAGTATTTATTATATTTTTTAATATTTTTTTATTTAAATTTATTAATCATAAAAGTAAATGTAATGCAAATTTAAAAATTTTTCATTTAAACAGTAGTAAAATTTAAAATTTATTATATTCTAAATAAAATTAATGACTTGACCGTTTCTATTTGATTGCAGTGAAATAAAATAATTAAATGTATTTTATAATAAAAATCAGATGAAGTATTATAACGGTGCGTAAAATTGGTAAAAAGAGTATTGTTTAAATACTAACTAACGGTGTATATTAACTTTGTGTATATCGATGACCTTTTATACGTGTGCGTGTGTGCGTGTTTTGGATAAGGTCACCTTGTGTCCTAGATTTACCCTACTTCAATTCAAGGAATTATCTTGGCAAAAAAAAAAAAATCAACTATAATTAAAATTTTAATAATATATCATAATTTTTATTTGTAATAAATTATATTTTATTAATTAATTTAAAAATTATAAATAATTTTTATAAATTACTAACTAACGTAACAAAAACATTTAAGCATTTTTTAGTAATTTAAATCATTGACTTGTAATTTATAATTAATTTTTATAAATTTTTAACTGACATTATATATAATTTCAAATATAGTTTGTATATTTTTCAAGTGATATATATATATATATGTATAGTAATAGTAAAAAAACTATAAATAATTAATTTACAACTCACAACAAACTCTAACAAATTCCTACTTCATGTTACATACAATTTTATATTTTTTTAATTTTTTAATATTTTATTTATATATTAACAGTGAAAACTTAAAATTTACAACGACTTTCATAAATTTTTAATAGACTTTATAAATAATTTTAAATATATTGTTACTTTTTTTATTAATTATTTATATTTTTTAATTGTAAATAAGAATCATGATTTATTATTAAAATTTTAATAATAACAAATTTATAATTATTATTAATTTTTTATAGGCTTTTTAATAGCTATTTCTCTCTCTATTTTTTTTTAATATTTGATAATGATGAGTAATTAATTAGCGCATATTTGAAATATTGTGGGGGGGAAAAAGAGAAATCAGTTTCCGGAAAGAGAAGAGAGGGAGAGAGAGAAGTGGATTAAAGATCCAAAAGGAGAGGGTATGGGGAGTGTGAGTGTGTCAGTGTCTGTCACTGACATTACCTCCCCACCAAGTTTTCCTGACTCCTCCTTCCCTTTGATTTGACACTGTTTTGGATTTTGCCTCACTCCCACTCTTTTATTATTATTATTATTATTATTTTATTTATCAGAATTATAACCTGAAGAATACAGGGTGCAGAACTACAGATGATAAAAGATAAAATTTTTAACTTCATTTATTTTTATTTTTATATAAAGAGTAAATAGTAGTTACAGTTTACAACTACAGAAAATAAATTAAGAAAAGCATAATTATCTATCCATATAATTTCATTAAATTTTATTTTAATTTTTATAATTTTTTAATATTTCTAATCCTTATAATTTTAAAAAGATTGGATAGCTTTTATCTTTCAAATCTATGTAGTTTCAGTTTTTTCAGCGTTTTTAGTTTTTACAAAGACTGAAGACATTGAGAACAACAACGAAGATTAAAAACAAAACTTAATGAAGCTATAAGAATCAAAAATCATATTTTTTTTTAATAAATTAAGATATCAAAGGTCCGAGCCTACAAAGAAAAGGACAAAAAAACAATTTCTACATGTGGGCTTCATTAACTGGAGCCCTTTTTGAGGAAATGGGCTTTTGGCCCAAGCTTGTGAAACCCATTACAGTTTAACTCCCTGCATATGTTTATTGATTTTGTATATTTAAATAATATATTCCAAATAAAACTATAAAAAAGGTATAATTATATGAAAATTTGATAATTTTTGTACGTATATTTTTATTTCTTTTATCTCTTTGAATATGATATATTTTTATCTTTATAATTATAAATAATCAAAATTAAATAAAAAAAATTATATACCCTTATCGCTCTTTCTGTCTCTCCTAACATATTGCCTCCGGTTAAAATATAAGGATAAATTAATCCACTGGCCAAAAAAATCTTATACCCATAAAATATAAACTAGAATTTTAATAATTTGAGAGTGTAGTTGATTCATATTGATATACAAATGATCTATCATTGATATACAATGGATTTGTCATTAAAAATTTAAAAATTTATAAAGAGTTTATCATTGATATACAACTGCATATCATTGGCAAATATAATAAATTAGTTATAATACAAAATATAATAAATGTTGAACTACTTGCTTGATTTGGTTATATAACATCGGCCATATTTGCAATAACCTCAAAATATAAGTAGTTTTTTTGAAAAATTTCATATATTAATAAAGTTTCCATTTTCATAAAAATATTATTATTTTTTCTTTTTACCCTTAGTCTCAATTATCAATACATTCTATAATGAGCGAGAGATACATTTACACAAATATATTGGTTATTAAATACAAGGGATAAAATTTAAAAAAAAATCTTATTTTACATGTATTAAGTTGCTTATATTTTGAACCAAAATTAATTAAAAAGAAATGTGTATATTTTGCACCGAAGGGAGTACTTTGTGTAAATGCCTTGTAATCTAATCAAGGTTTTGTTTGGTAAAAATGTATAAAGTGAATATTTTACTTTGATACAGGCTTTTAATTTGTTTTATTATTGAACCTAAACAGAACATCTGGATATTTAGACCCTGCCACCACTAGACTGAACTTGGACCTTGGACCTGAACCCAACCCTCCACTTGGACTTTGGATTTGTATTTTGACTCTCTCTATCGGCCCAAATTTCTTTTTTTTGACTCTCCTGCTAAAAAGTGTTTGATTGAACAAGAAAGTTGTGCCAATTTACTCAGAAGTCCCAAATTTGAATCCTTGAAATGCAAGTGTTTCGTGGTAGAACTTTCACTCAGAATCCCAATCTAACTTGATCCGGATTGGTCAAAGCTTTAGCTTTAGATATTAGATAGTTTACTAGCCCCTAAAAAAAAAAAATCCTAATCAGCTACATGCGTTAAAGGGGACTAACTGGATGATCTAGAGGATTGGAGCAGATGAAGATATTCACGACAATGCTTTAAGAGGCCAAACATTTTAATTATTCAGTGACTTTCTTTAATTATTACATAGAAATTTGGGTAGGTAGATCCTCAAGCAACTATGTTTTAATTGCGCAGCCACTATCAGGCACGGCAAGCTTTTCAGTGGAAATCTGTTATATACATGTTACATAGATTTAGTTCATAAATCATGGGTCTTACAAGCTTGCCACATTTTATACTGATCATCATACACGAACAGAATGACTCAATTTAGATCCCATAATAAACAAAACTTGCACCCTTGCTGCCCCATAGATATAGTTAATTCAAGGCTTAGTAATGGCTGGAGGATTGACTCAAGTTCTCTTGAGCATTGTATTGATTCACAATCCCAAATACCACAGACAAAACGCAGTTGAAGGACTAAATAAATCTCATGATTACAGAACCTATGGAAAGAGTCTACGAAACCTGGGCATCCATTATGTATGTGTATATAAATTCAAAAATTTAGAGAAACCATAATTGAATTGTTTCTTTTTCCTACTGAAGAGCACATGAAAGCTATTTAAAACACTCTTCATTCTTCACTACATAATTGATAATTAAACTTGCCCTTTTTTTTTGGCCCAAAAAAGAGAGTAAGGCTTTCATTTCTTTAAATTCTCTTCAAGTCTCTCAATCGCTGCACTAATACCACTCTTTACTTCTTCCCTTCGATCTAATTCTGGATGTGAAGAAATCGGATTCCCTTCATTAGCTTTTTCTACAAGCTTCAAATGTAACCAACCTGCCAGACAAAGGAAACATAACTTCAACAGGTAGCCAGAGAACTTGCTTCTCATGAAAATGAGGATGGAAAAACTCTTAACACATTGTAAGAATATTACACAACTATCCTCCTTAATGTACCAGCTCAGGAAAAAAAATCAAGTTGAATATGTAATTTTAAAGATTTTCATGTTTATTCAATTAAAATATAGATGAGGAGGCATTATGGCTTTTCAGAAGCTTTGGCTTCTCTATCTTACTAAAAATTTCTCTCCTGTCATTGGCAGGGTGGGGGCAAAATCTGCAGATTTTCATTGAAGGAATATCCATACTAAAGAAAACAAAACTCCAATATTCAAGAAAACTGAAATATAATGTATTAAACATGGTACCAAGAGGAAAACAAAATGCTGCTCCCAGCACAGATCCTAGCGCAACATTCCTTGCACGCCAAACGAGTGATCCTGGCACTGAAGTAAGAAATAAGCTTTATCATATTGAACCATTCAATTTCAGAAATTCACACAAGAAAATAAAATGAAATTCTTTCACAATGTTTATCACATCAGTACAGAATGCTCTAGGGTTGCACAATGAATTTAAAACTAGATGAATGGTTCTTTACTGATCAAACCAAATGTTGCTGCAGTGGCTGATCCTGCCCCGACAACATTAAAAACATCATGCACACCCCGCTTTTCTGCTAGCAGATTCTGCATGCCATAAAATGCAGCAGTGAACATCCCAAGTCGTACTCCACCAATTATTGATCCCTTGGTAACTCGAATGAACCGCTTCTCCATTGCATCTCTCATTAATCGATATTGTTCACGTTTATCAGGTGTGCTTCCAAGTTTCAACATCACTTCTGCATCCTTGCTCTAGCAAAACAGGGGAAGAACTTAATGGATGTCAAAATTAACTGAGAGGACATTGTGGGGAAAAAAGCATATAAGTTAATGCTATGAGAACCACCATGAAAATGATGTATGACTAGTTAAAGAAAAATGAAACCAAAGCAAATATAACAAATCAATGTCTAAATTAGTTTTCCTTTCATTGGTAAACAACCATTATACTTGTAGTTCACAGTTCTTACATACCAGCAATTTGCAAGATTTTTTATAAACATTAACTTTGTATACTTGTGAACCAGGTGAGATGGATTCATATTGATTTCAGATGTAAACAACTTCTACCAGCAAAGACATAAGTAAATGTACATTAATGAGACTAATTCTATTTTCCTTCAGTTAACAAAAAGGATTATCCCAAATATAAAATAAAATATAAAAAAGAGATAAAAGGACAACTCATTGTATTTTTAAGCAAATTATGTAGCATTATCTAATGCTGTACCCTGTGCATTCTCATTTTCAGAGCAACTGTGATTTTAGCTTCATCATACTTAAAAGAAATGCAATGTTCAAAACAATTTCACCACAGTGGCACACTTTTAACACCATCTGACCTCTCTTTCCAACGATACACGTTTGTGTATAGCTATATTTAACAGTTTCTTACTCATCATCTCATACTAGGTCATTTTATACTTTGCCTCTAGGTACATTCTTCCTCACCCTAAACTCATGCTTTTACAAGCAACGTTAATTCTCTGGAACTGCAAATAAGAAAAATAACATCAGAACCTCCTAGCAATGCTGTCCAACTGAACTCATCATAGCTGCTTAGTAGCAAATCAAATGCAAACTCATAAAGAATGCAATTATATTCCTTTGATTTTAATGACATTTCTTTGTTGAAATACTAATAGTCTTCTATGGTCAAAGGACATGAACATAATGCTTAAAGCATTGTTTTAGTTATAAACTTACAACAGAAGCAGATGCCTCCTTGCTGCCTCCATACAACATGCCTGCAAATATTCCAACAACAGTTGCTGTGCCCCAGTTAACAGTTCCAGCTAATTTAGGAGTATCCTGGTAAAGAAAAGTAGATTAGCTATGAAAACAAGTTGAATTTAGCAATATATAATTTACTACCCATTATAAAATAACAAATTTCAAAAGCTTAGAATAAATGGAGGAAGAAGTGCACTAATACATTTATGTACACAGTACATTTCTAAAAATTGGCCAGGGCTCATGAGTAGTGGCATATTTATTATTAATGTACACCTTGCACCAAACCTTATATATATCTACATATATATTATTGGTAGTTGTAGCAGGGTAAAATAGGCTGATCACTGATAGAAGGGGATATTAAAGCAAGGATAAGTTTACTGCATCTAGTATTCATGCCTACCATGCCTCCCGCAACTCAAGCTGATAAACCTCATTAACAAGGTGTTTAGTGAAATTTTGAGAAATGAATCCTGCATTAGCAAACCTTCCTCTGCTGATTACTTCTTATTACTCTCATTTTGTGATTTAGTTTTTTTAGATCAGTTGGTCAAGCATTAAGCAATTGAGATGCTTAAAATCAAAATTTGATAGATACTCGCTGCTTGCTTTAAGTGGAAGGACAAAATTCAGAACCAGAATTGAACAACCTAGTTTGACAATTTAGTGGACTTGTGAAGTTAAAATTCTCCAAGTCACCAAGGAATTTAACAAGGGTAATACTCCAACTCCAACTCTATGGGCCTTATAAGCACGAAATAGATTGTTCCTTCAAATATGTCAATGCAGTTATCACTATCAAAAAATTTGATAAAAAGGAACTTCTACGGCTCTCTAAATCCTACGTAAACACACTCCAAACCACCAAACAATACATCATCATAAATTCAGTACCACAGAGGGCTACGTATTAGCATATAACATGAAATAAAAGTCACCAATTCAAGGAAAATGGGATGAAAGTTGTTACATAGGGAACGGAGGATTCTGAGTTCTCAGTGGTTTCCATGGATGGAGGAATGCAAAATCAACGCCTTAGATAAAATGCAAACGAACTTCGATAATCCATTTGGTAGCCGAGAAATTAGGAAAGACAGCAAGAATCCGAGAACTCTTCGAACTTCGAAACGGATCAATGAAATCAATACGCAACAATCAGAATCAAATTGATTCAGTGAAGGAGGGCTCGTACTCGTACTGTTACACCGCCACGGAAATCTCAGCTTGGATCCAAAGATGGAGACCTGTGTCGCGAAATGCTGTAAAAAGAATGAGTTCATATTAAATCCATTAACTTCCACATGACCGAAGTCTAATCCACTCCAGTAAATTACTCTTAAAGTAATCCTACTACGAGAAGCCAGACCAATTAATAGGAAATCAAATACAATACCTTGAAGGAGACGACGTGCTTGACAATAGGAGGCTCGATAAACGACGACAGTGGCCTTGACGGTGGCGACGGCTCGCCGAACGGAATGACCCCGGTTGGTAACCAGAAAAAATAGGGGCAAAATAAAGAGCACACCTCAACCTATTTGCGGAAGCTTATAATAAAGCCTCTATGCCGTCTCCTCTAGTGGGAGTTCAGTCCAGTTCCTCGTCAGCAAAAACCAAATCAGTTTAGGTACGGAGCTTATTTATTTCATTTCATCCACCAAAATCACAGAAGACAGGAGAAATATTTGCCGGGGAGAGACGATCGGCTGTGGAGAGAATTACTGGGCCCAGAATAAGACACTTTGGGCCAGAATTGGGGTGGGCCAAAAGTACTTTGGATCAGGCCCAACGAATGGAGAAAAGCTAAGATTCCGTCCTATGCGTCCATGTGAGTATTTTCAGTGCAAGGAAAGGGTTGGGCTTCTTTCCATTTTTTCGGCTCTACTTTGGATCAAATTTTAAATTGAGTAGGATTTGGCATTTCATAAGATTGTATTTTACTACTACCAACTAGAGCCAGAAATGTAGATCAAAAGATATGAGTTGGGCCCAACAACTTATTATGAGAGTCAAGCCGTGTTGAAAAAAAATTATCCAAATAAAAAATAGCTCTTTTTTTGCTCAACCAGATGACCTATGAATCAAATGGGCTGGCCCTAATGAGTTAAGATTAGCCCATTTAATCTATATTATTTTAGCACTACAATCCCCTAAGATAAATATATTTGAAATGAATCATGATATAATGGATCAATCTCATACATTTGTTTTTTGAAAATTTACAAAAAAATTAAATACATTGGTGAATTAATCTATTTAACCACCAACCTATAAAAATTATATTGGGTTGGATTGAGATTTTTTTTACTTCATATAAAAAATAAGTTTAACCCAATTCAACTCATGGGTCAACCTATATGGTTCCAATTAACTCATTATAAACTCTACTATGTATGAACTCATTTGGAAGAAACAAATACTAGACGTGTTTTTTAAAAAATTTGACAACATGTTCTAAGCTGTTTCATTAAAGGCCGTAAAGCTAATAAAGAGCTAATCTGTCGTTGTCTAAACTGTGTCGAGATCAAAATTAAACTGTAGAGCGACAGGCTTGGATTAAAAGGAAGGCAACTACATGTGTCGTATGTATGATTGGGGAATGTGCAAGCATTATGATGCACGATATATATATATATATATATATATATATTCCAATAGGCAAACTGGGAATCGTACATAAATTGCTGTCCACGGATTCAACAAAAGGCTTGAACCTCAATACTTGAAAAGCTGGGTGGATCCCAGCCATCTCAGTCTGCGAATTGAACAATCAACAATTTGTGCCTCCAAATTGTTAATATTAACAATCATTTTTATACTGTGCCTTTAAAGTTGATCCAGAATCATAAAGCCATAAATCTCCTGTTTCATTTCATCTTTTGAATTTCAAGGCACTGTTTCTTCCTGTTCTGCCTTGTTTTTTCCCCTGTAGATTACAGTTCTGTGAATTTGGATCTTCTCTGAGAATCAAGATTTGTCCAAGAAAAAGGTTGCACCATTAAGGAGATCCAATTTTACGTGCTTTCAAACAACACTGCAAACCTTTTAAGTTAAAGAATCTGGAAAATTTATAAAATCTATAACTTCAAATATAGTCCCCCACCCAAAAAAAAGAGAGAGAGAAGCCAAAAAAGAAAATGGAATACAAAACTCAAGTCTAGAAGAATGACAATAAAATTCCAAAAAGGGATCAATGAAAATTAAGTCTCAAAAAATAAATTATAAATATTGATTTACATACTTTCAATTGTAAACTAAAAATTTAGATATCTTATTTAAAATTAAAATTTCTAAATTTATAATTATCTAAATTAATATTTATAAATTATTTTTCAGAAAATTTTATGAACTTAACTATCATTAATTTTTTTAAAAAAAGACTTAACTGTCACATTCTCTAAAGTATATTGATGGTGATTTTTTTATCTAGGAAGAATGACAATTAAAGATCATAGAAAAAATGAACATAAAATTATAAATTTTAAGTTGCAAATAAATTTTTTAAAGAGTTCAATTCAAGTAATAAATAGGCATTCTTTTTACATTTTGTTATTGATACAAAGGCCTTATGTTTTATTAATTATTTATTATCCCATGTCTGGTAACATTGCTTCAATTCCCATCAACAAATAGTATCCTAATTAGAATAAGTATATTTAGGGAACATTCTCCAGCTCCCGATCTAATTTTCTTAATCCTCTTGAAAGAATTTAAAAAAACAAAATAAAACCTCCCCAATCTGTGAAGCACTTGCTCAAAGAGACAACGTCAGATTATATATAATAAACTAGGGAAGGTCATAGTCCAAAACAATGATAGCTCCTCCAGTAGCAGTAGTACTAGATCATAAACAATAACATTAAACAACAACCACTAGAACCCACATGGTATCACACAAAATGCTTCATAGGATCAGGCTCTTGTGTGCGTCTTTATCTTCAAAGTATTAATTAATACTTTAAAAAGACTAAATGGGGAATTCTTCCTTTTTCTCTTTTTGACTACCCCAGTACAAGATACCCTTTTCCTTTCCACAACAGTGAAAGAATGAAGACCATCCCTTAAGTTCACATGCTTGTGTTCTTCACTTTGGTTCAAATACACTTTACTTTTTAAAATTTTTATCCCATTTCACAATAAAATATAACACACAATAGCCAAAAACCCCATCATCATCATCATATTGTATGTTCCGCAAAATATTGAAGAAAGAAGACCCCATCTTAAGACCATATAGCTATCTATGCCTTTAGTTTTTTTTTTTCTTTTTCTTTTTTCCCCCTCTAACCCTTTTTACAGTGAACAGAACCCCACCATGGAGGGATCCTATATCCCTCCAATTTCTGCAAAAAAATTACCATTTTTCCTCCTTCAGAAGAAAAGTTCATATTCTGTTCTTATTGTTCCTTTCAGCAGCAATGGAGAGAAGCCTTGAGACTCCCTGAGTCCACACATCATACTCCCTTTGATTTTTGCATTCAAATTCGACTACGCCTCGCATCACTGTCTTCAGCCCGAAGTAGCGCCGGTTCTCACCACCTTCGAGTAGGTGCCTGCCGGGCCAGGCTGGCATATCCTTTATCACTTCCAATACCACATCTGCAGAATTCAAAATAAAAAGGAAAGGGTGAGGAATTTCTCGGTCCCCATCGGGATGTGAGTGAGTTCTAGCACTGCATCTTTGAAAATTCAAAAAAAGAGGGTGAGGAATTAAAGATGACGGCTTTAATCTCTTGATATTTTAGTGATCAGAGCTTTCACAAATCCCTAAATGGAAGAAGACCCACCTCCAAATCTGTTACTAAAATAATTATTAGAGAAAGACAAAAGCAATCAAAGAGACACCCTAAAGACTAAAGAGACTCACTCTTTTTCTTTTTAGTGATGGTCCCAGCAACATGTCTACTCTTCATCTTCAGCATAACCTGCACAAAAAGAGGCTTCAAAAGAGTTAAAGAATGAAGATTTCTAAGAAACTAAAGTAAAGATCCAATCTTAACACATCATCATTCTGCTAATAAGAGAAGCCCACACTTGCTAGCTTTTTCCATGATGAGGTTCAAACTCATCATTAACCATCGCTCCTAATTGAAGATCCCCAAATAATTATCCACTGATTGGTCATTCATCATTGTCTAGTATCCAACAAAGGACGTTATCCTAAGATCTAAAACAGATGGAATAAAAGTCACACCTGGTTCATCCTGTTTATGTAAACTGATACAATTTTCCAATGAAGATCACCTGCAAATTGTCAAATGAAACCACAAAAACAAAACCCAAATCACTAACCACCATGTACATCCAAATCTCAACAGAAACATTAGGCTACATCCCTTCATAAGCTATAATCTTGTCCTTGTCCTATGTTATTCATATCATACCTTTGCGAGTTCGTTTAAGGAGTTCACAGCCTCTGGCAAGTAATTCTCTGCTACAGATGCCTAAGAAATTTTCTTCCGGGGCTAATTCGCCACTAAAGCTGCTGTTTGAATTGCCGTTGCTTCCATTGCCACTAGCTCCCATGCCTTTCTCCACAGGAATTACTGCTGCAATATTCCAAACTTCCTTGAGGGCCCTTGCTTTCAATGTGGCTGCCCCACGTAAAGCTGCCAATTCAAAGTAACAAGCCCAAGATTGGCCTCATCAGCAACGAGTCAGTACCACAAAGATCAAATCATATTTTGGTCCTCCCCAAAGAGAGTCATTGTCAATTTTAATGCTTTGAAACAATTTTGTACCATTTCAATTCGTGGATAAGTATAGAATATGTGATGCTCAGAAGAATGTATAGTGGTATTCTAATTTTAACTTTAATATCTCTAAAGATTTAAGATTGAAATTCAATCGTACATTTTCAAGGATATTTTATTGGGAAAGAAGGAAGTGATTAATCAATTATTTTCATACCTGTAGCTGCTGCAGCAGTTAATGTCATGATGTCTCCGGCGGATCTCACATTCACGGCGGAGCCGACAACCGATTGAAGGTGCTCACGCTCAGCACCCATGGCTTCTGCTGCCTCGACGCACTGTGCAGCGACCAAGGTCGCCGCCGAGGCAACCGCCATGTCAGTTTTTGCCATCTGCTCGTCTTTACCAGCTCCAGAGGACGCCGCAGTGGCGGCAGCGATGGCCGCGACGGCGGCCGCAACCCCGGCAACAGAGACGGCCGCGTGAAGCTGAGCATTGTGGGCCCTGGTCTCCTCTTTTTTCTTCTCCTTCCTATCCTTGAGCCACCTCCCGACCGTCTTCCCCCCGCCTCCGGCCGCGGCAACAGTACCTCCGGCGACGGTGGTCGGCCGGAATTGAGTATTCAAGCTGCTGTTGTTGGTGGGGCGGTTATACTGCAGAAGAAAGGAATTGGCGGGGTCCATTAACAACAAACAAGCTCTGGAAACGGAACAACAAAACCATGTCCAGAATCTGCGTATATGATCTTCTTGTTTCTCTCAAGAGACACATCATGAACGAGAAAGGAAATAACAGTTGAAAACTCAAGATAAGAGAAATCCCAATACAAGCAACCACCTCGTGCTTCTTGGGTCCATCGGCCATTATTGCAATCGTAATAGAGACGAATTTCGAACTAGCAGGACAGTCCTATGTGATGATATATTCTAACCAATCCAAACGAAACTCATGGGGTCGAACTCGA